AATTATCAGAATCATATCGCTTTTTTTTGTCCGTGTAAGCACTTTTTTCGTACAAAACTCATTTCAAGTCGCGCCAAACTTTACACTCAGTCAATACGTCATGATTCATCATGATCCTGTAATTACAGTTGGTAAAAAATTGTACATACGCTTATCATCTAATAATTTCACTTAATATTGACTATATATTTGAATATATATTGTATGAAATACTTAAAGATTTTATTTTTGTCATGATAAGATTTGAAGTATCTTTTCAAGAGGATAAAATCACGCATAAAATATCATTTCGGAATCGGAGCAAAATGTTATATAAAAATCGTTACCTCTTGTATGCTTCGCCTAATAGCTTTATAAGTGAAAAGTGAAACACTACTGCAATTAATGACAATGAAAATTTGCCGAGAGATAAGTCAGTTGAATGCTGGACAAGAAAAGTTCTGAGGAAATCATTAAGCGAAATCGCTAAAACTGTGAATAAAAATGTGTCTACGATTGAGCCTGTTTTTAGAAATTACGTATAATGGAACGCGTTGCATCGCAAGCAGATCTAGATCAGGACGGACAAAAAAGCTTCAGCACAATCATGAGTGTCCATCCTAAGAACTGTTCATGAATATCCAAAAACAAGTGTTCCTTCAATAGTTGCTAATTTATTACAGGATTGCATCGTCGAGGACAGACAAAAATGCTTGACCATAATCATGAGTTTTCCATCATAAGAACTATTCATGAATATCCAAAAACACGTGTCCGTAAAATAGTTGCTAATTTACTACAGGATTATAACGTTGAGGACGGACAAAAAAGCTTTAGCACAATCATGAGTGTCCCATCCTAAGAACTGTTCATGAATATCCAAAAACAAGTGTTCCTTCAATAGTTGCTAATTTATTACAGGATTACACCGTTGACGTAACACCTCAAACCGTACGATATACATTAAAAAATAATAATCTCAAATCGCGATCTGTCGGAAAAAGCCGCATATTAACAAAAGTAAATAGAGCTAAGCGGCTGGCATTTGCAAAAAGTTACCCTGATCGTCTTTCTAGCTTATGGAACAAGTTTATTTTCAACGATCAATGTAAATTCAGTATTTCCACAATACACCTGTTTAGGTCATAGCGGAGAAAATAATTGTATTCTGCATCCCCCCCCCCAAAAGGATTCAATATTTTTAGTACTGTTGGAAATTGTAAAGTGTAGGGGTGAAAAACCGGTCATGAAATTAAAGAACTTATGAACCACATTTAAACGCAGTGGAGGAGGGATCGTGGTTTGCAGTTCTATGGATGTAAGAGGAGCAGGCAACATAAGGGAATAACGTAATATATATATATTAATATTTAACAAGCAAATCTGCGACTCAGTACCAGGCTTAAGATTGAATTTTATTGTTCAGCAATCTACATCCTAAACTTCGTACCAGAAGTGTCGAGGAATGGTTGCTGCACAACGCTCGACGACAATTAAAAACCACTGCAATCGCCCAATAGAACACCCCTGGCAGATGTTAAAATGAAGCTAAAACAGCGCGAAGTCGTTGACCTAGACCTCAATTTTCTGAGGTAGTTTTGGAGAATAAAACGGATTCTAGGTTTACCAAAAAAAAAGTTAGCAGCTTGAACAATCGTTTAAAAGAAGAGATAAAAAATAAAGGAGGATTTACAGACCATTAGATTGGAAGTGATTTGAGGTGTAATAGTTAGTGTTACATTTTGGAAAAGATAGTTCTCACTGCATTCGAAAATTTCAAAAAAAAAAAACAGCAACCCGAGGGTCGATATGACCCCTGCAGTTGCGAACCCTCGCAAAAGCATAACAAGATTATGTAAAATATGATCAGTATTTTCTTGAGCGTTACTACAAAGTTTCTTCTTTTTAGAAACATAACAACCCCGCACGTTTGTATTTTATTTTTTTTATTTTATTTTTATTTTTTTATTTCAGTCGATCCTACGGAGGAGTAAGCTGAACGATTTTTAGCTATTTTTGCATTGTGAACAGTTTATTTTTTTATTTCCTAATATTCCTCATCCCTTTTCTCCCCCACTGGAATTTAATTTGCCCTCTTCGCTTTTAAATCGCCCTAATAAATTATTAAATAGAACCGACCGCGTTTTGAAACGTGTCTAGCACGCGACCCGGTCGTGTTAACTCTGAAAGTGTGTATCGATTCTGTATGGATATGACAAAGCCCTGGTTATTAAGCTCATTTTTTTTCTGATTTGCATACCACCCGAACCTCAGAAAGCCCCTCCTTCCTTTGACGCCGACAGCCTCGAAACACGTTAATTAGTTTAATAAACGCCTTCGTCAACAAGAGAGATCAACATGGTCACAACTGCTTTTTCGTAATGTCAAGTAATATTTTTGAAGAGAACAACTTCTGCTTTATTTCGTATCAAGCTTAAAGAACTCATTACAGACCGATAATTTATAAAAACATTATAATAATAGTCGAAGATGACATTGTTAACGTACCTGGATGAGCTTAAACAGTACGACATACCGTAAATTATATGGTTGTTTGTATTTTTTATCTCGTAAACTTGTAAACATTATCAGCTCAGTTTCATAATATTCTCAAATCCAAACTTTAGACGGTGCAATATCCGAAACTAGTGGGAACATGTATTGGAAAAGTATACTCTTTTATGTAATTTTGGCTGTACCAACTTAATGAAGTTCAATGTAGGACTTTCTTTGGTCTTTTCCGTTAAATTAGAAACAGTATCGAACTTAACATAAGATTGAAATACTTAAATATTACAAAAAATTTGTCTAATGATTCGTACACTTTTATAAACATTTAAACAGTGGACGTAATAAAATTATTTTTCTCTATAGATACACGTATTTATTTGCTTTTATAAATGTTTTCAGTTTTACCTTCTAAAACTACTTCAGAATATTATGACTTTATCACTAGAGAAATATAAAAAGTACTGCAAAATTGGCCAGTTAAAATAACAAACCTTATAAAAGCACAACCGGCAATTCCATCGTTTGTAATCGACAATAAATTACCGGCAAGCACCGAGAATCACCCAGCCCGGGTGTTGGCTGTCCGAGGTCAGACTTGATCTTACCCGTCCAGCCATCGAGGTTCTGCTGCAGGTGCTTGGTCATTTCAGTCCTGGACGCAGTCAGTTTTTAAATTCAAATCCATTCACTCTCTCACTCACTCTTAAATATTTTTTTTCCTATTTACATACCATTAACTCGGTTATGGTGGTGGAATACTCCATATTCCTCCATCACCTTTTACATCTACATAACCTTATTGAAGGTTCCGCCATCACACCCTAACACATTCGCGCTAATAAGAACATTCACTCTCAACACGACCTACGAACACAAAATTATTATTAATTACAATAAACAACCCTATTTTCTCCAAGAATCGGAACCGGGGACCCAGATACTCGCTGCCATGCTCAATCGCAATTGTCATATCGCGTGGTATTACTACGCGCTCTCTATATAGAATGAAGTAATTGCATCCTTCATTTAGGTGTGACAACGAACAACTTTTCTCTTCATGCCGTACAAGGGCTTTTTTTATAAACAAAGGCTTTAACCCAAAAGTAAGTGCCCGTATGTCAATTGATTATGTGAGAATGACGCTTCTTCATTCCGGCCAAAACTAACATACCTAGTGTACAATCATTCTAAATACATTCCTACTAAATATAGTTCCCAGTATCTAGAAATTTTCAGAGCTACTTTGATACAAAAACAATGAAACATCTCCCCCCCCCAGGTTATTTCAGACCCATATATCGCTACTACTATCGCTATCATTAGAAATAATAAAACCAATACCAAAAAACAACACCATCAATTTGTATTCCGAACAAAATATTCAACATTAGACCAAATTCACACCGAGTAACGGATAATAGAAAATCGTTTGAACAAAAACTAATTTGTTGTATTTTTCCCTTGATTTTCACAAGCGTTTAACAAGGTCTAGCATGAAGATTAATGTAAACTACGAGAAATTCCCAAAGAAATATGTACTTAACCGACTTACCTAAAGAGCAAAAAAAAAAAAATACCCAAAATTAAGAAACAGAAATTCTGGACTGCCCCAAGGGATATTTAGTCCAATTTGTTGCTAAACCAGTGATTTTCGGAAAATGGTTGGCGTAAGGAACTTTTGCAGATGATGCAGCGGTCATAACATACCGAGCATCATCCATTCTTTTAAAATACTTCAAAAGGCATGTAACAAAATAAATATACAGACAAAAAATGAAGAATCAGGCTCAATCAGATTAAATCTGTACGTATAAGTTTTACAAATAAACAATCCGCCTCTCACCATCACACCATTATACCATACTGTTAAATAACTGGGAATGGCTTTAGGTGCCAAGCTGAGATGGAAAAACCACCGTTAAAGAAAAAAAAGACAGAATTAGATTTAATGTATATACAATTATATATGTCGCTAGGACGAGGCTCCAATGTTAAGAATACAAAATAAAATACTAATATCCAAATGCCTATGTGGACATATTGCATCCAGCTATGGGGTTGTACCAAACACAGTTGTACAAAAACTATACAAAATAAAATAAAAGTCTAAGTAACTTGGTCGATGCTCCTTGGCACGTACAAACCAGAATGGGCGATCAAGATTGATCAGGCACGTTCAAACTGGGGACAAAACTCCAGGCGTAAGGGTACATTTGAAAAAACAACAAGATGTAGGTAACTGAAATCCAAATTTCACGAAAAAATAAACTTTTTGTTTGGTCTGATTTGATTAACTATATCAGTTTTCTTTTGTACAAGCGAGAATAGGCGGTTGATCAGGCAGTTTAAATTGGGGGGGGCAAAACGATCACACATTAGACTACCTTGGAAAAACAAAAACATTAAAATATTTAGGATTTTTTAAGCAAAAACAAAACAGGTTATTTGCAGGTACACACGTATAGTTTTTTTAGTGGAATATCGAAATAAAAAACAGTCAAAACGTATACCTGGATAATTTTTTGGATTGGCTGTGAGTTGGTATATCAGTTTCCAGTTTGTACTTCCCAGACCACGTTTCGATCGTAAAAGCGAGAACAGGCAGCGCATAGTATACAAAACACCCAAACATCGGCCAACTTTTTTTTCGGGGGCCAACTTTACACGATATAGGTATTGGTAACACAAGCGAGTGTTTTCTTTTTCTTAGTCAAAAAAGAACAGGCAGAAACAATTTCACGTTTTGTCAATTATAAATATAAAAACCAGGCCATAAATTTACATCGTAATAGTTTTCTATCGGTCTACGAGTTGTTGTATGTTTGATATGTCCGTCCCAGACTCGAGATCCTGCCGTAAAAACGAGAATAGGCGGACGGGTGATAAGGCACGTTCAATTCAGGGACAATACCCCGTTAAACAATAGAGTAAAAACCAAGTTATTATTAGATAACATACATGCACGTTTTATTCATTTGTGTGATGAACAGACAGAAATATATGTTCATTTCTCCATAATAAAGTAGGCAGTGAGGGATAGATAGAGATAGAGAGAGAATCTGTCAGTCAGTGAGAGTGAGAGTTTTGTTGCTTTTCGACATCTTCAGTGGTGTTACAAAATATAATCGTCTGGCTTGAAGAACATTACGAAAATTGGACAGGGTAAATTTTTAGAAATCAAAAGTAAAAGTTTTTTTAAGCCTGGGGACTGATGAAAAAGATACTAAATATGTAGGTGTGAGCATTATTCTCTAGTAAAGTGTATGCTTCAATTGGTGGAAAAGTTGGCAAAGCTAAATTCGGAATTCATACGTGCGGTTTTATACCAAAAAGAGTAACTGTGGTCTGCTAAATTGACTGTAACCGAGTGAACGCTGCTTACGACACGAAATAAAGGAAAATTTTGGCTTAACTGATTTTTTTCCTACTTCTATTAAAAAAGTTAATTACTCCTAAATATGTAAATAATTATATTATTACATAACTTTTTAATAATAAACCGCAATTTAACCCAAAACTGAAGATGGCACAATGGCAAAAGCGGCAGAAAGATCAAAACACCGAGCTTAGACGACCAAGCCACACACCGCGCCGGCCTAAAGAAAAACTAACCACATTAACATTTTAAATATTATTATATACAATCTATTATCGCTAAAACCAATAAAAATGTCTAGGGTTTTTAGGCTATTGAAGTCGTTTTTGTTAGAATTTTTTTGACCATGTTCCCACCGCATATTTCTGACCCCGACCATTTCAATTCAATTTTTACGTTTCAACCGTATTCAGATTTCTTTTTTTCTTGGTAATATATTGGTTTTTTTAAAATAGTGTGCGGTTTTATACCAAAAAGAGGAACTATAGTCTGCTAAATTGATTGTAAAAGAGTGACAGTTGCTTGGCAGACGAAGTAAGGCGAAATTTTAGCTTACCTTACAGTTTTTTCCTACTTCCATTAAAAAGTAAATTACTCGTAAAATTTTAAATAATTATATTATCACATAGCTTTTTAATGTCATATATATATATATATATATATATATATATATATATATATATATACATAAACATATTTTATAACGATAGCCTTGCCTGTTTCCGTTTTGTGCTGTTAACATCTGTTGCATAATGTTCGGTAAGTGTCACAAATTACAATGTTTTTAATAAGTTTTACATTTTATTAGGTTTCGTGGTCCGCTTGATCAAATAAATTATTTTCAATTAATTAAGGTTTTGGTTGAGATAAAAATGTCAGCGTCACAAGCGGGATTCGAACCCACGACCTTCGGCTAAATACGACGCTGCTCTACCACTTGAGCTATCGTGACTTCAATCCACTCGGACACAAACTTCCCATCTCAACCCCACCTTTCGAATTTTGATTGAAAAATGGCAGCGGCGTATTTAGCCGAAGGTCGTGGGTTTGAATCCCGCTTGTGTCACTGACTTTTTTATCTCAACCGAAACCTTAACTAATTGAAAAGTTTTTAGTAAGGTTTGTTAAAATTTAGAATTTTTCCCAGGACGGTTTTTTAAATTTTTGACCAGGATGAAAATTTTAATTATTTTTTGCATTTAATTATTTTGTCTTTATGTCATCTTTAATTTCTCTCATAGTCAGTGCTTTATGTTTATACAAGTTTTTCCGGATTATCTGCGGATACAACCAGGCGGACCTTAAATGAGGTTAATCTTGCCTTCTATATATAAAACCCTATCTTGGCATTGTTTTTTTTCCACCCCCAAGGCCCGGAGATTTGTTCAAGAACCCAGTTGAACCGAGTTGGAGAGAGTGAGTTGGTCGCCCCTTTTTGTCTGGAAGTATTCTATTTCGTCCATCTTTATTTTTTATCCCTTGGACAGACGTGTCAATATTCCTTATCGCGTTTTTAGGTAACCTATTTTCGAATTGGCGAAATTATGTGATTATCCATTCATTAATGACTAGATTTGTATCAGTCGATTATTAATACTCAATATTCCTATGTATTATCAAGTTAAAATTAATTCTGTTTAGTAGGTTATTTGGATAATTGTCTTTACAGATCGTTTCCGTCACATCTGACGACGCTAATGGAACTTGTGCCACTACCAAGCGGTTATTTTCGTCTCGCAACCCGGAATAAAAGGCTATTAAATAAAACCGTTTTACAAAGAAGACAGAGGGCAATGGACGATTGTCGCCGAGGGGGCTTAGGATCTTTTTTCAACGTAATATCGCGATGAACGGCGGCGGTTAAAGGGCTGGTGCCCGGCCAACCCACGACAGATTGGACTTATCGTCGTGCTTTTTTATCAGCTTCCTGATAGTTTATATCTGGATCCACTTCGGGTTTTAATCCTAGGCCGGTTTTGTTTGGGGGAGGAGGGGGTCAAACTTACAGATCTGTCAATGCAAACGATCAATCTGTACATCTAAAGTGAAAAAACAACGAACTTTATTTTGTGAAGGTATTTTCTGTTCCTGTACACAACTAACATTTAAAAATTACATTAATACATGCATTAATGGTGGTGTTCCATATTTTTTTCTGCCAATTCTCAATCAAGCCATCTTCATTATTGGATTTACGTTACATCTACAGACCGCGATGGCTAAGTGGTTTGTGCGTCCAACCCATATTTGCCACGCTAGCGGTCCTGAGTTCGAATCCCAGCATAGTCAATAATATTTAATAATTAAAGTAATATTTTAAAAAATTTGTAAAGCGATTCCTCCTCTATGACAGGAGTTATTTTACAATCAAACATTAGATATTTTTTAACGATTTTAACATTATTAATGCATATATAAAATGCTAGTTGTTATAGTTCAATATTTTTTTTAGCCGAAGCAAAAAGCTATTTAATTATAAGATTGAATAATTGAAATTTTAACATGTGGAGATAAATTCTTGATCACCTTTTTTGTAAATATCCTTAGTTTCCAGTTAACAGATTTATTTAATTATCGAAATATCCATTTCTATGATATATTTTTATGATTTGGATCGATCAAAAAAATATAATCAAAAAATATGGATTTTTTATTCCGTTCATTCACTAGTTAATTTATTGTAACAACAGTTATTTTACTTTCGGAAAAACTATGCTCCGTCCTATGAAAATTTGTAAGGGAACCAACCGACTTTCCATTGTCACTGTGAGTAGAAAACAGTATGTTAGTATAAGAAAGTATAAGAAAAAAATATAAATACGGTTCAAATTGAATTGAACTGGTCGGGGTCGGATCTCAGCCGGTAGAACATGGGCAAAAAATAGTGACCCCACTGAACAGAGGGAAAAGTAGGAACTTCCTGAGTGAAATAATCCAAAAATAAACATGGATGAAGAAGGGAGAGTTTCATTTTATGTTAGGGCCGGGTTTACTTTCAGTTAAAGCGTTTTATTTGTGCGTTTTGAAGATGCCTATCGAATAAACATTTCGTTATACAGTGTATCAACTTCTTAGTCCACTCATTTAATTCGAAAACGATTAACTTTCAACAAAAAATCGTCTTATAAAAGCCTCAAGTTAATTTTTGTTAAAAACAAAACAAAATTACTAACCCCCTCAAGTGTCTTCCATCGGACAGAACTCAGATATGGTCGATCGTATCAAAATTTTCCTTTCAATAAAAGTGGCTTAAAATAAACTCTAGAATCTAAATACAATACAATAAAAATATGGGATTCGCATTTAAAATTACAAAGTTAGATGTTAGATTACCTAAGCTAGACGAGAAAGTTATGTTGAATCAGTTACCACCACGCGATTTCTAGCCAAAGTTAACTTGGGGTTTGTATAAAACCATTTTTTCACGTTGAACCGGCAATCGGGCACTACTGGGTCTGTCTTCACTCGCGGGTTTTTTGTTTGAGTTATTCAAACGCGTTTCGGCATTACGCCATCTTCAGTGAAAAACTGTCTGTCATTTAGTCTGAGTGGGGTTTACATAGTGTTGCGTCCGTCGCTTGTCGCTGGGGGCGTTGCGTCAGGGGGCGTGGCCTCCGTGCTCGTTGACGGTTATTTCCATTGTCAGTTATTATTTGTGCGTTGTTGGTTTTTTGTCCGCCACCAAGACCGACCAACGAGCACGGAGACCACGCCCCCTAACGCAACGCCTCCAGCGACAAGCGACGGACGCAACACTATATAAACCCCACTCAGACTAAATGACAGACAGTTTTTCACTGAAGATGGCGTAATGCCGAAACGCGTTTGAATAACTCAAACAAAAAACCCGCGAGTGAAGACAGACCCAGTAGTGCCCGTGTGCCGGTTCAACATGAGTTCGACAACTCGCAGACCAAACCCCATCATCTACTAAAACCATTTTTTGCTGAAGTTAATCGTTTTCGAATTAAATGGTTGGACTGTGGAAGTTGATATACATCCTGTATATGTACATTACAACGAATATCATTCAGTAAAACATGGATTCTATAAATATTGAACATTTGACGTTAGAAAAACACGTATCACGTAACATAACTTGGTCCTCTACCTGAATATTTAATGTTGTTTCAAAATGACCGATAAGAGGAGTTTCTATTTTAAAAAAATATTTTGTATCCATGAAGTACCTATAATGTAGATTTCGGGATTATCGTTATTTTATTTTAAAACTATATAAGTGTCGATACAAAATATCGACACAGATATTGGTTTATCCGTCCAAAGTAACAGCAATAAAATAGTAAAAAATAAAATAATAAAAAAATTTCCTTTCCAATAAGATAATGAATTAAAACTATCAATGTCCA